CTCCTTAGACCAACTTGAAACCTGGTGCAACAGGTGGAAAGTCAAAATTAATCCCAACAAAAGTTCGGCTATCCTTTTTACCAAACGAAAAATCCCACAAAACCTCGACAGACTGACACTATCCCAGGAACCTATCTCCTGGAATCGACAAACACGATACCTGGGCGTGACGATGGACCAGCGTCTCACGTGGAAACCGCACATCGTGGAGACGGTGGCGCGAGCGAAGACCACCAGGGCTAGGCTCTATCCCTTACTCAAAGGTGGAAACACCCTCAGTTTAAGGAATAAGCGAACGCTTTTATCAAGGTGGTACTTCAACCGCAGCTAACCTGCCTCCACGGCGTGGGGTCACGCGGCAAAAAGCCACTTAAAGTCACTACAGGCTGTGGAAAACATAGCCCTCCGCACGTTCACCGACGCGCCCTCTGGTACGTAAGAAACACTGACATATTACGAGACTTAACAATACACAAACGCTACATAGACAGTAAGACAAAACGCGGAGAAACGGTTTGACGTAGCCGCTAGACATGACAATCCCCTCCTCAGGCAAGCCGTTGACTACGTACCCGATATGACCGACAAACACAAAAGACCTAGATACCAACTTTTTGACCCTGGGTGACCACCCAAACGACATCCCCCCCCCTGACCGCTAACCTTTTCTGTTTCAGAGACCGCCAGGATCAAGAAACGAAGACAACGACACACAAACACATACACACCCTCCTTACCCCTCCCCTCCGCGCTAACCTAAGGGCCATCTTAGCAAAGCGCATCCCAGGCTGCATAGCCGCACTACTCTACCCACCCATACCACACATAAACATGACACCACCCCCGGAGTTTACACAGACGAGCCGGCGAAGCAAGAAGAGCGCCAGAAGAAAGGGCCCTAGCCGGCGGGGCCCAGCCTGGACAAAATGAGGTCCCACAAAGCGCTGCACCGGCCGCATTTGCGGTCGGGGGGTAGACGACGGATGGGGCTCACCTACGAAGGCTGTCCAGGCCTACACGAGATGAGGCAGGATAAAGAGGGATAATCCCCCTCGATCTCAAATCATAGAATCCAATTCCTAGCCATAGAATAATGGCACGTATCTCGGTTGCTTGTTCTCGCGGTCATAAAAATTAAAATATGACAATATATCCTTTGAAATTAGCTCGTATATACATATTCAGTAAAAAATTTACAATTTTTACCCTTAAATGTTTGATAAATCTATTCTACAATTTTCAGTACTTGATCTTTTTGCACCTTGTCAGTTACACCAAATTAATACCGAACAAACCTTCTATATGAATCCATTTCACAATTTCAATTTCACTATTTCACATTTTGCTCACACATTTTCTTAAAGCTGACTGACATTTGTGGTAATGTGGTTGTGTTTTGTGTTATTAAAGTGAAAAAGTTATTTTTTTAGTAAATCATGAATATTTTATATATGGTTGGAAATGGTCAGTCATTATGAATTGCAGGACTTGCGTTATCCGCAGGCGAAAAATGAAATTTCGTACTGTCGGCATTGACTTATAATTTGCAATAATTTTGATATACGAAGATAGGTATTAAAATAAACAATGTAAAAGTAAACATGATAAACTCAATAATAAATGTGATTAAAAGAATAAATAATGGTTACTACTAATGATCAGCTGTAATATTCATTTATAAGGTTTGTATACTTTATTATTTTTCAGTTTAAATACTTTCTGTTGTACAGTTTCTAATTAAAAGTAAATATAATGGTTCTAGAAAAAGTTTAAGGTATAACATGGATATTCATGTACACTTAAAAAGTAGTGGAAGAATATAAAGGAATATTTATTGTATATAGTTAAATTTTTTTTTATAAACGATTTATCCATAAAATCTCGTAGTGTGTAAAATATATTTATATTTACTTCTTTTTTTGTATTCAAAATTCTTCCATTTATACAGCGTGTGGATAGATGAAACGACTTGTAACTTACAAAAAATGTTGGTGTTAAAAAACGGATTTTAATTCAGCTGTCTGTTTGTGAAACAAAAGTTGCTATGATTTACAATTCAGTAGACGTTGAATATTTAGAATATTTCATGCACTAGTCAAGTACCATTTCTGTATTAGAAAAAGGACAAAATATTAAAAACAAGCAAAATGTCAAAGTAGGTCTAGAATATTAAAACTTTGTATACATATTTATTCCTTAATAAAATTCTGTGGTATCTCAAACAGAAAGAGCATTTAACTAATGAAAAATCCCAAATGAAGCAAAAAATCTTGGTAGCAAGTAGGCATAGGAGGCACTTGCCTCCGTATGTATCAGTAGTTTCTGAAATGGCGCCAAGTAGGTAAAATCGGAGGCGACTAGGTATCCTTGTAGCAGTACTCGCCTCCATTCGTACAATAGCACAATACGATTCCGAAATTTGGCAAACACTTTCAGAGGCTCATTGCTAACAATGATTGTAAGGAAAAAGATATACATCTTAAAACGGATCCTTTTGGAGCTTTGGTATTCTCGATGATATAAAAATGACATTAAATATATATTGGATATGATGATACTTCTCAAATTTTAAAATTATTTTAAAGAGAGAACGTACAAGGATACCGATTGTCCTTGACGTCACTTATTTCAATTTTTTCGAACTTGTATATTATTGAACTTTTTAAAGCACAATTATATTTTCAATTATATTTTTTACAAATTTACAGTATTTCCAGAACTAAATAGTATAAAAATTGTTGTTTTTACTGTTCATTCAATAATAAAAAATGTTTGTACTCATTTTTTATTTATCCAATTTCAGTTAAAAAACTAGTACCTAAACATAAGCAACTCTTTGGGTGTTGAAAATAAATGTATAGTAGACTACTGGTAGCACTCATAAAAAAAAAAGTTGTCATAAGCATGGGTAGGAAAATACTTCCTTTGCAAAATACGGGGTATTTTAGTTTTTGAATATAATACTTAGGCAAATATATCTGAAGACGTTTAACCCAGATTAACCCGGCGTTGGCACGGTGGGGAAAAATTGCGCTATAGATACACTGTAGTATGTGATATCCCTATTTTCAAAAATTCTCAAAATAATTTTAAAATTAAGATATAGTAGAACCGATTCAAAGACAGTCGTTGCAAACGTGTATTCAGTATTAAACGCGCTAAAAAGAGATACAATGATGGTATAAATGTCTTCATAGTCTCAATCTGTCACATACGCCCGTTCCAATATTTTATGTTTATTAGATTGAAAGAAAATGGAGGACATTTGTTGGGTATTAATTTTAGACTATAGTTTGACTAGCGCATTTAAAAACGGAACTGACACTCAGATTAAAAATCTGACGGTTGTTTTGATCGCGTCTTTGTACTAACTGTTATATATATTTTCTGAGCATTGAAATATCAATTTTTTGGCAAATTTTCATATCCAGTAACGCCAGTATTAAAATTTGCCAGAAATCCAGATTTGGGAATTGTCGAGATGACATTTCAATTATATGAAAACAATGACTAATTTGACTAGGATTTTTCATCTTAGTTCATACGAATATTGCTTGTGACGCAATGGAAAAGATACAGCGGTTTTAGTATAATAACGTTTTGATGGTTTTTTACCACTAATAATATGGTCATATTAAGTAGAAAATAATTATAAATAAACCTTTATATTCAGAAAAAAATAAACTCTAGAAAGCTCACATTTTCATATATAAGAAAACATACTAAAACTAAAAATACAGAATAAAAATTAAAATGAGATTTTTTTGTAAACTGTCTGCTTTACGGCAAACATTAAATATTGAACCACACAAGAAGTCTCATGTGGAGGAAAAAATGAAACATTTTAAGGGCTATCAGAGGCCTGACATTCATTACAAATATGACTGCAGTGATTCATGCAGATGTAACTGTTGCATGAAGTACAAGTATAAAATGACTTCTGATCAGCCTTTCTGAGACACAAATAACATCTTCGTGAGACCTTTTGCCTTTTTACACCTGGTTCACCAAGTATCCCCTGAGGATCATTTCTTCCAGCAGCTTCAGAAATTTGTATTTTGTTTTTTTGACAAGAGATAAACCTAGTTCCTTTATAAACTTTCGGTGTGGAGTTTTAACAGTTTGATCGATATTATTACTTTTCCATATAATCATGGCATTTATGGCCGTAAAGTTGAATAAAACAAGGTGAAGGGCCACCTCCGACTATTTCTAGATACACAGATAATTCATAACTTCAGGTTTCTGCAATTCATTTGTTGCCGGATCTATCTTGTTGTCATGATGCAAAGTGGAGAGAAGAAGAATATTTTTTCCTTTCTTGGGAATGTTGGTCTGGAATCCAAACATGGAGCTTCTTCTCTACCTCGAACTGTAACCATCACTGGAGGTATTTTTTGTTTATTCTTCTTCAAAGTACAGACAGGGGTGACTTTGTATTCTTTCAGAAGTTTCATGAGGAGTGGATAGCTTGCGAATGAATTATCAAAGGTGATATTTCTATTGGAACTGGTTCTACGAGTCGCAAAACTATATCATCTGGCATGTTGCTCAGACAAAAAGGTAAATCCGGCTGTTTGCCTACATATACCTCCAAGTTGAAAATGTAAAAGGTTCTTGCGAAGCAAGTGCGAATACTTTGATGCCATATTTGGCCGGTTTGTTGCAAATGTATTGCCTGCATCCACAACGGCCGTTAAACGCCTCAAATTTTTCGTCAATTGTTATATATTGTGCTGGAGTGTAACATTCTTGGCAGTGGTGTACAAAATGATTGAATATGGCTCTATGGGTGCTAATTTATCAATACGACGTCTCTTGTTTCTAGTACCTGCAGAATCAAATCGAAAACATACAAGTAAAAACTGGAATCCTTTCAAAGGCATTGTAGATCTGAAAATATCTACCCCAATTCTGTCATTGGTCCACAAGTCTTCTAGATTTTGCCTTAATGAATGGAGGAGTCCAGCTAAATAGAGAAGTCCCCATACAACTTTCAATTCAACTGTGTCAGTTTCCATATCTTTATCAGTGTAATTCTGTGATTTATGATTTATCTTTTCATTTGTGTTTTTGACAATATTATCTAGCATAATAACGTCCAGAAAGAGGCTCCAACATTCCAACGGCGTCTTGGTTGCTTTTGCTATTCTCTTGGCACCAGGTAGTTATGTCACTATATTCACACTTCTAGTTCTTACAGCTTGATTTCCTGGAGACTGAACCCATTTAGTTTTTCCGTCTTTACCGCCATCGCCGGACATTTTTTGCTGATACACGTAGATCATTATCGTCTGCAGGCTGGTCATCACCAACAAGTTCATTACCGTTTGAACGTTGACCACCGTTTGCAAGTTGATCATAATCTGCAGGTTGGTAATAGCCTGTAGGTTCATCGTGCTCATTTTCGATTTCATCATATGGCTCAATCTCCTGTTCGGTATCTGAGTTGGACAAATGTTCACTCACATGGTCATGCCAGTCTCCATCCGATTCAGATCCCAAGCCTTTGAAAACGTGCAATAAATAATAAATGAGTAAATTAAGTTTTATATTCATTTTTTCTTTAATGAATTTACAAGAATTCAGACATTTAAAATTATAAATAAAAATTAATTATTATTAAATATGTTATTATTTACTTATTAAAAAAAACCATTCAGTCTCTTATACAATATTTGTTTCCATTTAAAAAAATAATTTAAGATTGCACCTCTACTACAAAAATTCTTTTTACTCTTACAAATTTTTTGAAAAATAACGGTTTTTGAGAAAATCGGGATTTTGCGAAACAGCGTCATTACTAATTGAATCGGACAAAAGTTTTAAGATTAGTAGGCTATGATTTCAGGTGTAATTTTTGATGTTTACAAAGACTGCGCATTACCACATACTATTCCATCGTCTTGGAAAATGCCTGCAAAATTTTCATTTTGTGAAAAAATGAACATGTTAATAGTACGCGAAGCACAAAGGCTCCATCTATCGCGCTGACTTCCACTATGCCATTCAAATGGCTACTACGGTGGAAGCGACCTGCTAAAATTTGCCAGGTACTTTATTGCACGAATGTCGCCTATAGAGGGCGAAACACAATGTAAGTCGTCAGTGCCGCGAAAAACAACTACTCCAAGGGCTATTTACCCCTACCGGCATTGAATTACATTCGCGACACCCAGTACAACAGCTAGGATCGCTCATGAACATGTTAATTTTGATTTTGTGAGGGTAATCGTCGACATAGTGTACAGGAGTACCGAGGAAGATTTTCTGATCGTTTGATTCCACACCGGGAGACCTTTGCTAATGTTGAGAAGAGGGCTCGAGAGACTGGATCATTTATAAACGCAAAAAACAACGTACAACTTTTAAGAAGTATTGAAAATGACCCTCATATCAGCACTAGGCGATTGTCTAGACAATTTAATATACCACATACCATGGTCCACCGAATTATAAGACGTAATCTGCTTCATCTTTATCATATCCAAAATATTCAACAATTGTTACTCCAAGATTTAGGCCAAAGACTAACTTTTTGTAATTTCATTTTACGTCAGGGTATTTCATGAGAAGAATCTGTTTACGGACGAGGCCTGTTTCACTCGCAGAGAAATCACAAATTTGCATAATTTCCGTGAATATTCGGATGAAAATCCTTGTCTTTTTCAAAATAAATTTA